AATTCCTTTAAGTTGCACACTCAATCAATTTTTGGGCCGCACTTATTTGTTTCACACTTAAGGTATTTTTGATTAGATATCAGGATTTTTTGTCAATACAAATCAACAAACCACAGCAAGTAAGAAAGTGACACTCGATAGTAACCCACATTAGCTTTAGGCTTGCAACCCTATTATTCGGAACATACCTTTAATTTACAGAACCAGCTAGATTCTTTAAAATATATGGTAGTTTTCCTCTGTAAAACAGTGTTAATAGCTTTCTTTATAATAATGCCATGGAATTTACATTAACAGTTTCTTGTCATCGTCCCCATGCAATCTGTACAGCCGTATCAAGCATCATTATTTATGCTAATTGCTTAAGCTAATATCACATGACTCTAAATGCTCTATAATTAGGAGAATTTCATAAAATCTAGTAAATTTGTGCTGAACAGTTGGCAATCAATTATCAATAATTACCGTCCACCCATATGATTCTTTTGAAAATTTGAACTAGCAACTGCTCATCTAGTTTGCTTGTCCTAACCAATACTTATGTATCTGCACATCCTTTCACCTTATAGTTTTGCTGCATTAAATCAGCTATTCTTAATCTGAAGGACAAAAAACTAAAAATGGTCCACTTTTACTCTTAGGTGAAGCTCTAGTACAAATGTTAGACCGATAGCTCACGTGACTTTTTGTGTAAGCATGCACGAAAAGTTTGGTCAAATTTGAGTGGTTTTTGTTGTATAACTCAGAACATGTGGCTTATATTTACACCAAATGAGACTTCTAATTATAGATTGAAAATATCTATCAATGTACCAAATTTGAAAAAAAATCCGTAACAGTTAAGTATGTTTTTGTATCAAATAAAGTGTCTATACTTATGGTGTGAAGAAAAAAAATAAAGGAAAAAAATCAAAATTGAAGATTTTATATTTCAGGTATTTCTTAATGGATTGCCTTGAAATTTGGAATGTGAAGTAAGAGTCCAGTAGAGCACATTCACTAAAGATATGTGATAGTTTGGATTATCACAGTCCGAGATACAGAAGTTGGAAAATTGCTAAATTATCACCCCTGTTAATAAACACAGTGTATGTCTTGCAGCAAGTAGTTTTGGCTACATGACACACTACTGTGTGCCTTGATAAATGTGTTTTAGTTGTGATACTTACACATATTAAGAGGTTATGATTTTAATTCTGATAATAGGTCCGTAACTTCTGTATGTATAGCTAAATTACCTCATTTGTTCGTATATGATACACAGGAAGAAAACCATAAAAAATTTTTGTTTAAACTGTTGAAAAGATATTTAGTTATTATAATCCTTTGATAAATTTCCACAACATATAAGGAAAGATAACATCTATGAACCAAACAACTAGTAATGATAAAAATAAGATATGTTTTCTAGACCTTGCAAGTCAGAGACATTTTATCAATACTTATTGTGGTCATGGAAAATCATATCTGTGTGAGCTTACTACAGAAATTGGATGCAGTATATTTATAACTGACTTCTGATTTGTCCTGTGTCTAATGTATACCCTCTCCTTCCTGTGGAACTGCCGCTGAAAAATCATGGAAATTTCAATAATAGGTCACGGAAAACCATTGAAAAGTTATAGAATTCTTCATTCTTTGAAATGTGTGAACCCTGTTTATAGCACAAGCTTTCTGAAAAATAATGTTTTAGTTTAGTGAAAATATTACTGTGGTGTCCAGTAATGTTCTTTACAATGAAGTAAAACTATTAAAGATATTATTTTTAATGTATTGTACCTTTTCCAAAGTACATTTATCATTGTAAATCTGTTAATTCATGTTTTATGGCCAAGGTAGTATTTAATAATGAAAAAAAAAATTGCAATTAATGGTTCATGTATGATGAGTGATCATGAAGCCAACAATACTATTAACATATTAAAGAATTCTGAGGGAAAATCACTATTGAGGGTTATTAAAGTAATTGTACTGTGAGAAATGATGAAATTAAATATGATTAGATATACAATTTTTAATTTATTAGTGTATAACCCAACAATGTGATATTTTGTAATATAAATAAAATATTATTCATCAAGCTTAAATTGTGTGGCATAAGTAAGTTGAACAATCAACTGGGCATTCCTGCTTTAACTGTTGTATCATGTACAACTTTGTTGAGTATTTTGATACAGCATGGCATGTGTGGCATATTTTGCTTAATTCAATTTAAATGTGGTGTAGTCCAGAGTTTCACACCCTTGTGCACCTCAAAGCCCACTTATTTATTTGGCACAATAACAGTTGATGACTGATTAGTTTAGGGCAATTACAGTTGTTCTGGACCATGGTGACTCATGATTGTGTTTGTCATAAGACATTATGTTAAGCCTGCTATATTTCTGAACTCTACATTCTTAATCTAGTCCCTTAGGGATTTTTAAGAATTATAAGAGTGTATAATAAAAATAATAACAGTATTTCAATTGCACTATATTTGTCATATCCATTACCGACAACACATTTCGCTCAATCCTGAGCTCTTCAGGCTAGCTGAGATACAATGAACACAGTTGTCAAAACATTATTTATATAAGCCATTTATTACAACAAGAATTGTAATGGCTTGAATGCATCTTACCAGCTGGTGAAGCATGATTATAACTAATTATGCTTGTCATAAGGCATTACAAATTGTTGTAACAAATGACCCATAATTGTGTCTCACATTGCAATCACTGATGTAGTTTATACTTAGAATTTGACTTTATAGCTTTACTAGGGATGTATAAAGAGGACAGAAGTTAGGTTTTGTGTACCAATTTTTGTGGCTCTTAAACATTAATTAGCACCATCATAGTAAAATATTAAGTTTTAAATTGAAATTTACATGTTACATTGTTATTTACAACAATTACAATGCAAATAATATATCTGCAAATTATGAATATAGAAATAAATTCATGTGTACTAAAGCTGTATGATTTTACAATTTCTTGGTAAAAAAAAACAACAGTCATTAGATTTATATTCACTTAGGTCTTCCTAAAACAATGCATTCATTCCACTTAGGTGTGGAAACAAGGGTAAGAAACAATGCATAATATGCAAGAGTTCAGTTAGATAGTCCTTTTTTGGCAACTAATGTTGTTTTATGCTTGCTCAATAAATATGTTGGGTAAACATATCCAAGAGGTGACTGTTAAAAAAAGTACTTTTCTTTATGCATAATGTGTACAATTACACTCTAGTTTACATATATTCAACTTGTTCCATTTGAATACTTCAGAACTTGAACTTATTTTACAAAGAATTTAAGGCAGTTAAGCAGAAAAGTGTTAAACATTATTAATTTGCTGGAGGTAAACTCTACTGTATACTTAAAAATATTAAGTGCCATGAAATTGGGGACTGAATGAAAATTTAAAATCTTACCTTGTCATCATCAGATTTAGGTCGTATGTACAAGATATTTAGCAGAGTTCGTGATGGATTAAAGACCATGGTTGACTGTGTTAGTTCCTATTTAAGAGAACAAGGGAAAGCTCTTGTCACAGAAGAAGAAGGAGGTAAAGGAGATGCCTTAACGTTTGTTCAGGTATATGGAATTTTTATTTATCACATTAAATTTTGACTTAATTTTCACATTCGTATATATTTGAAATGTATTACTCTTGAATGAATATATATTTTTTTTAAATGTAGTTCAATTTGTTAAAGTATGAATTCAACAAAATTATTCCTGCACTCTGAGTACTTGTAATTTCTGTTTTATGAAATATAATGTGTGTGTATCAAATTTTTGTTGTGAAACACCAAGATGATTTTGATGATACTAAATACATTGATATGCAATGTTTAACACATGTCTATATACAACTTATTCACACACTTCCATGTCTATACAAATGTTAAAACAAATAACTTTTCAGAGAAGAAATATAAAAAAATGCAATAAAGTATATGTTAGTCTAAAAACCCTCAAGTTTGATCATGTATTGCCAGTTTTAGTTTCAACCAAAACTTCAGAATTTGTCAACAGATACTTCCCATATGGTAAATTTTTAATAAAAAGCACACTATTCAGTGCTAGCAGAATTTATGTGTCTTGTTCTTCTGCAGGGCCAATTACAATGAGCACATTTGTGTATGTGTACTATTCAGCAATGTGATTAGTTAGTACCATAAGCAATTTAAGGACACAGGATCCTTGTTTCACAGGAAGAGCACTGAATGACACGGCATAAATAAAAATACTATTGCTTTAATAAATAACCGAAACTTTGCAACATTTTCTGGGAAGTTTATGATGTAGGCTTCTCTTGAATTTGGTATACCAAGGGCTGCAGTGTTTAAAGATTTTTAAAGCATACTTGAACTGTTATGTATACAAAATAAATTCTTATGATGTTTGTCTTTTTTGGGTAGATCATGAAGATATGTTTTTCAGTGGCATTATTACATAATTTTACTGCATTTGGAGCAATCAGTAGCCGTAACTAGATCTTGTGACTTTTAATTTAGAAAATTAAAGCTCCACTTACTTTAGGATTAAATTTAAAGTTAACTTTAAGCAGATGAAAAAAGAACTGAATAGTAATCTCTTGTAAAACTGTAACTGTAAATACTGTAAAAAGTCAAAATAGAATTAACTTAGTTAATTCAAGTGAAAAACAAGTAATTAGTAACACATTTAACTTTATGTGAAAAGTTTATAGAACTGGGTGATTAGATGAATTTTCTAATCAATTTATCTTCAACCTCATTAATCATTTACATTGACTAATCGGCTATTGTAACACGGGATTACTTTTCCTGTTGTCAGCTTGCTTTGGTTTTTTGAAAGACATTTTCAAACTACCCTTCATTTAATATGATATCTTTATGTGCAGTAATTTCAGATTAGATTATTTTTTTAATCCTAAACTGATGTACAAAAAAATTTATCATGTACACAATGTAGTGTGAAACCTGTAACAAGCTAAATATACAATTAATAGCATTCTGAAAGTTTCTTCTTACAAATTTCCATAAGACTACTCTACAAAAACTACTGAATTTTTGTTGATGAAAATAAGTATGAATTTTTTATTTTTTTCAAGTGACTTTTTATGTAAAGTTCAACTTTATTGCCTTAAAAATAAAAAAATGAAAGGTTTTAAATACCATGACTAGTTTCAGCCATAGGCCTACATCAGGTGTCAGTTAATTGAATACATATTTCATTGTTGGAAATAAAATTATTTTTCAAAATATGTTCAAGAATAGACAAGATCTGACCAACAATACTATTTTAATAGAAAAATATAAAATGAAATATCAAAGCTCACTTGATGGAGTACGTATTTTAAACGTTTTTCAAACATATATATAAAAAAAATTGAATATTAATTGCCAGAAAGATTTGACCATTAGTAAATTATCCACTAAAGCTTATTAGCATAATAAATTCTTAATGTGTGTTAATATAAATTTATTATGATATGATGTTGACTTTCTACCCTACATAATTTAAACTTAGCTACTATCAAAGTTATGGTCTGTGAACTGGTTTGTTACAAAAGTTCCCATGAAAACAAAGCTGAAATTGTGACTGATCATAAACATATGGTTATGTTCTGTGCTTTCTGTACATTTTTGGAAAAAAAGGCATAAAACAATTAGGATCAGGGCATTTTTTCTAGGGTAGGCTAAGTTAAGACAAATTATTTTCTTCTAGGCTTTATTAAGGCTGTATGGTAGTTGCATCCTATTTATACATCAAGAGTCAAAGAGTATGTTTTTATAGTAGTATTCTTCACAATATCAAGTACAATGGATTTTTTTATCTTAATAAAATTATTGATACTTGCAACTTTTAATGTGATATTAAGTTTTTGAATGTTAGTACATCACATTCATAATTTATCATGTGGTTAAAAGGCTGTGTGAAAATGTGAATAAATGCATAAAGATACTGCTTTGTGGGTTTTTGCCCCATGATCAGAGAGTTGCAGGTTTGAGACATGTTAGTAGAAAAAGTAAATAAATTATTTCTTTAACACTAAATAATACAATTAAATAGATTATTAATTGCAATACAACACTGTAAGAACAGTAGTTTTACACCTTATTCAATATTAGATAAGTTATGCAATTATAAATTTGAGACATAACCCAATGTATGAAAAAACAGTAAATTTACATTTTATTTAACATCAAAGTTGTCCAAGAGTTCACAGATAGTACTGCTGAACATTTGACTTCCCTTTAGTCAACAGTTTAAAATTAGGGACGGTGGCAAATATCTTTAGTGGTTTTGTCATAACTCAGAAACAAAGAAAGAAATATAACACTCCCATTGCTGAAAGGGCATATATGTTTGATGGCAACAGAAATCAAACTTGAGACCCATAAATAATGAAGCAATTTTCTCTAATCACCAGGCTATGACAGCCTAAAATCTCAATGAATTTTAATTCATTAAAGATGTGAAATGAGAATTTTAGAAATCTTAATAGCAACATTTTTATTGGAATAATTGAAAATAGTAATAATTGGAAACACTAATTATGATTAGTTGATTATTTTTGTAAAATTAACTGATTAATCATAATTTTGATTAACTAATCATTTTACATGACACTAATCAATTGAGTTAATTGCCCAACTCTGAAAGGTTATCAAAGTTAAGTATTCATTCTGAATAGTGAAACAATTGTGGCATCCCACAACCCACCTTTTTATTCAGTTGCAAAAGCCAATTTGCCATCACACATTGCACATGCATCTGCTTTCTATTGAGCATGGATGAGGCTTACCCATTACAGGATCAATTGGTATGAAACTGAAAATAATAACAAAAATTTAATATTAAAAACACTTGCTAATGAAGGAAAATGTTATAAAAAAAACTCTAGTTTGCATAAATATTAATATATTTCTAGATTTTTACTATACAAAGTAAACAAGAGTTTATTATAGTATTCAAGTTCAAACTACACAAACTAATTTCAATGCAACATTCTGTGTACTGCATAGTGCAATTAAATGTTACTGTGTGAGTTAGTTTTTTTTATGAATATTTTCTTTGCTTTGTCTAGTCAAATGATTCTTTCCCTTCTAATGCAAAATCACTTCTAAATTGTGGACAAGAGAAAACTTGGCTGGGGAAGGTGACATTTATATTCTAGTAGCTTTATTTTAGTTATCACTGGTAGTTTAAATATTGGATATTATGACAGCATACCACTACTGTTATTGGCTTGTCAGTGTATCAGTTTTAATATCAACTTTGGTAACTTGTTATGGCTCATTGTGAATGAACCTGGGATGTGCGAGGAAAGTTTTGAAGAGGACAAATATTTGTAATCAGAAGTTTTCAAATATAACGTGAATCGGTTATTTTCTTCCAGGACATTACTTCATAAGTCCTATGTATGTCTTCTCTAGCATTATTATCAAACATCAAATTATTTTACCATTATTAGTTTTTCAATCGTAAAGGTTTGAATAAAAAAACAAAAGAAATATGATGGTTTTAATCACCATTGTACTTTTAAACATAAATAAATCTTTGACAAAATGGATTTTCTCAAAATATTTGAAAGTTCTTAACAATGATAGAAAAATATATGACAGTTTTAAACTTAGATGCTGATATTATAAACTTTGCTTATATGGAACCAACTGTCACATAGTAATGGTATATCACTTAAGCAAAGTATAGTTGTAATAAATCTTTAGATTTACCAAAGATAAGATAAACTTTTGAAGTTGCATTTTATCCATTAACTGTATGTTAAAACAAAAAATAAAATAGCTTGTTATTTGATTTGTGCACAAAATAGTAGCCATAAAGGTATATTTGAATAATTTAAAGTCTGTACAGATTGCACCTTTACATAAATATATTGTAAAAAGTACATGGTTGATTACCCAATTGTCAATTATTATCAGTGAGTATTATTTCTAGTGTAAATGGAATCCAAAGAGCAATACTAATTTGTCGAAACTAATAATTGAGAATGAGTGCAAAGACAGGTTTAATTCTTTGTGATGAATTTTTCAGAAATAATTATTGTTATGGAAGTTTAATATTTTTAAATTGATGATTTTATTTTTTTTTTGGACTATTAAAGGAGAGTGAAAATATTTAAGAGAATCTGAAAATTAATTGGAAGGCTTGCATATAGTTATACAAGTAATTAATAAAAAACTAGTCATGATTATCTAATATTGTATTATACTTATTTTAAATTGTGTACAGTATTGTTCCTTTAGTTTAATATCCTTATCACTAAGCACGATAGCGCTTAGTATGTAGGGATGGACCGGGAAAAAAAAGACTGTTGCATATTATGTATTGCTCCTCATAGTCTGAAATTTCTCTTATAACAATGTAAAAGACTTTTATAAACACCTAGTATTTTAGCTTGGCGAGTGTAGAAGCAGTATAGAATTTCACAAACTTTAACACTTGATGTCCATCAAGATAATTCATCATGATAGGCTAATACAGCTGCCTTTATAGCAACTGTCCTTCATTAAAAAAAGAGGTGGAAACAAGTAGAAAAAATTTTGAAAAAAATGAGGATGGTGTAGGGATGACAATGCCAAAAACTACAGAAACAAGGTAGGGATGAATAAACAAAAAACCATACAAAAATCCCTACATAATTAGCCACTTAGTCAATGTTACAAGCTTATTGGAATTAGCCATTGTAAGATTTTATAGCATTATTCAGTTTAGATGCTTTTATTCAAACCTGAATTCATGCAAATGAAATTAATTGAATGTTTAGTTGTAGATAAAAGGTTTTCTTGAAAATATTTGGCTACGCATTTATGTAGGGAATTTTGTATGATTTTGTGTATTCGTCCCTACCTTGTTTCTGTACTTTTGGCATTGCCATCCCTACATCATCCTTATTTTAAAAAATATATTATTTGTATAGAATGTTTTTTAGCTATATCTGCATAACAATTTTTATTACAAGGTAAAATAAACTCAAAATTTATTATTTGTATGTAGCTATTAAAAGTACTGACTGTTATTTGCTACATTCATAAATTCACACTGAACAAAATTTAAAAGTTTTATATCTAAATTAAGGCATGCTTACAATGATAAAATTCTGGGTAAGGAGTTAACTTATTTCAAATTATCTAATGAAATACAAATTCTATGACTTACTGTTTGTCTTAATGTAAGTTTAAAAGAATTGTTAATTAAACAGTAATAATTATTTTACAGAGTCTTCTGGATCTCAAGGATAGATTTGACCACTTCTTACATAACTCTTTTGGAAATGACAGGTTCTTCAAGCAGATGATAGCATCAGACTTCGAATATTTCTTAAACATCAATCCTAAGTCTCCAGAATATTTATCCTTATTCATTGATGACAAGCTAAAGAAAGGAGTGAAAGGAGTATGTTTCATTCATTTTCTTGCTTTATACAGTAATTATCATAAGGATGAGTTTCGTGCCTTAACATCAGGTGTAACAGTATTTTGCCAAGGCCTTCAAGTCACGTTTCAGGATCCTGTATACATTTTTGCCAAGTTGTTAATTTATTTACATCTTTGAATTTCAAAGAGTGGTCTCAGTTTAATATTTTAGGTTAATTAATCTTTATGAAGGTAAATTAAAAAGGTGATAACATTTTTTATATATAAATATTGTAGGTTCTGATTATTGTTGAAGTGAAGTTATTACATTTCTTTTCAGATGACAGAACAAGAAATTGAGCAAGTTTTAGATAAAACTATGGTTTTGTTTAGATATCTCCAAGAAAAAGATGTCTTTGAAAGATATTACAAGCAGCATTTAGCAAAGAGACTTCTGCTTAATAAAAGTGTCTCTGATGATTCTGAGAAGAATATGATTTCCAAGCTCAAGGTAATACTTTGATGATATTTAAATACTCATTGTTTTCTTTTGCAATAGAAATAAAAAATTAATGTACTTGTATACAATGCAAAATAAATCCAGAATTAACAAATTATAGTCAGCTGTACACCATGAGTCACAGATATAAAAATAATATTAAGAGTTCTCCAAATGAATATAGACCTTAGTATTAAGTATGCTTACCCAAAGCAGCCAAAAACTTTTACCATCACTGTATTTTATGCAGTTGGTGTAATTCTCTCTAGGCTATGAAGATGATCTTGTAGAGCACTTTGTTGCTTGGTAGCTGAGTAGGTCAGATTTGGGGTGGATCTCTGATAATAGGCATCTGCTATGATGAACTTAGGGAACTTTACATTATAGGAATTATGTTTAAAATACTGTGCATTATATGATAAGATCTTAACAACTATTGTCAGATTTTTCACTTGAAACATTTGATCTTGTTTAATTTCAATGGACAGTAATGCTTATTCCCTCCATTCCCATACCATCACTATGTATCTTTAGCAGGGAGTTATTGTGTTTATGAATTGGCCAGAATTTTCTCCAGACATCAATCCCATAAAATACATCTAAGACCAGCATCAGGGACAGATATCATGTCTACCTCACCTACCAGATACAAAGATAATTTAGAAATTAGTTTTAATTTTTTAATTATTTTGAATTTAATTAAAAAAAGTCTTTATGGGCAAAAAGTTTCTAAAAGTTAAAATTTTCCTAAACTGAAAATGTATTTCCAATGGATACTTATGTCAGCTCACAAAAAAGCTTTCTCAACTTATATTGCCCTCTACCAGCACAAATTTTTGCTCGCCACTAGTCTTGATATTCCCATCTATTTCTAAATACTAACATGCAAATGATTATGCATCAACCCTCCATCAATAGGAGTGCGACGTTATCTCTATTGTAACTATTGCCTGCTGTAATCTTGCAGCTGTTAACCACTTCTCAATTGGCAGTCTTATTGAATAGACGTGTTTTTGCTTGTGGTTTGATTAACTTATCTACAAGTTGTTACTTTCTTAATTTTTTCTACTTTATTTACGTTGTTCTTTGCTGTTTTCTTATCTCTTTTGTGAAAAGTTATGAATTATTTTATTTTTCTTCTCTCCTCTTTCAGTCTCGTGAGTTATGCACTCGCAGTTTCAGGTGATCATGAAAACTGCTGCAGTGGAATTAGCGACCACATCCAACGGGTCGGAACCATGATTCTCGGCCCATGAAGTGATGGCTCTTGTCTGTCAGGAGTTGACCAATTTCATGCAACAAACTAATGGTTTTCAGTGATTGGGAAGTTTTGGATTTGGACAGCCTTTCCCCTCCTCCTGAATATGCCTCTCAATCACAATTTGAGGGACTTGCTCCCAGACCTCTTTCCCTTTTGGTGAATTTGATTATTCAAGTATGTTATGTTCTGTCCTTATTTCCCGTTTCCTATGTTCCATCCCTACTCTTCTCAGGAACTAGCCTTTGGGTCATTTTTTAGTGTTTTCTCCTTCCCTGGATATTGGGGTTCATGGAAGTCATTTTGGGGAGCATTTGTGTTTGGGGGTCAGTATGCCTCTACCTCCACGTACTTTTGATTATCATTGTTCCAACTTCCCTTATTTGGATTCATAGTATTGGTGTTGCTTCTCCCTTAGTGGGGATCGGACCCTGATAATTCGATTACCTTTTCCCGTATTTGTCTTACTCTGACCGCCCTTCTCTGGTAAGAGCTTTTGGGGGCCAGACTTCTTTAATTTGGCCATGTTTGAAGGTCCTTGGCAGTTGATCCAGGAGTTCTGAAAGTTGTGTCAGTAAGTCAGGTCCTCTACTTCCATTCATCTTCCCTGTTGTCTCACAATCCCATTTCGTTCCCTCCTCCTCCTTGGGATCCCATTTTTTGCCTACCTGATTCATTTCAGGGGGCCTTCATTTCCACCTTTCTATGGATGTATGACTACTTCTTGCCTCCTCACAATATGACTCAGTTCTGCATCGTCAGTTTCTTCTGCAGGACACTGTCATTGTGGTTTGTCTGTCAAAGTGGAGCAATTTTTTGGTTCATCTCGCAATGTTTTTCAATTCCCTTCTCCATCAGGCCCTACCTGCTTTACTTCAGTTGTGAGCTATGGAATGTCTGGTATACTGCATCTCATCTTCTCCTTCTTCTACTGTGCAAGAATTTTTTCTCTTTTGGGGACATGGGCTTCTCTCAAAGCCCTCATTCCTCTTGGTTGCACTCTCATGCATCATCATCAGTTGGTTTTGATAAACCAGTGGAGCCTTGTTCAGGATCCCTTAAATGCTTCTCTTCCCCCCTCCCTCACAGACCGACTTTGACTGGTGGGTGGATCATAACAATACTACCATATGTGTTCCATTTCCTCCTCTTTGTCTGGAATGTGCATATGCATCTTTTTCTGGTTGGGGTGTATCTTGACACTCAAGTGATTTCGGGGATATGGTCTCTGTCCGAGTTCTTTCTCCATATCAATCTTGGAACTTCTTGCTGTTTGTTGGGCTTTCCTTCACTTCCTGCAGGCTCCTAGGGGCTGGTTGGTGATGGCTCACTTTGACATTTCTATGGTAGTCTCATACATTGCTCAGACATCTCACACTGGATCTTCTTTGTTGCATCTACTGCTGTCTCATCACTTTGTTGGCATATCCTAATCTGGGTACCCTGAATCTGGTCACAGATTGGTTATCCCATCATGACAGGATTCTCCCTGTGGTGTGGTTTTCAGATCTACCAATTTTTTGAGTTTTGTGTGCTCTTTGGGGTGTCCCAGATTTGGATGCTTTTGTCACTCTTCTCAGTACACCTCTTCCCCTATATTGGTCTTCTGTTTGTCTCCTCCCACGTGTCCTTGCCATACTTCAGACCACTCCGTATTGTGTTGCTGGTTATGTATTGGGTGTCTCGCACGCGATTTCCACTGCTGCATCAGTTTTTGGTGTCACCTGCCTTTCTCTCTGACACTTCTCCATCATCTACACTCCAGTGGGCTTCATCTGTCTGTACCTGCACTCTGTCTTCACGTGTAGCTTTTTCCGGTCCCTCATCTGAAGGGCTAGCTTTTCGCATGAAGCTTTCTTCCTTTTCCGGCCTGTTTTTTCTTCCTCTATGGGGGTTTATCTTCATACGTGGTACACATACCACTTTTGGTTAGTTCTAAGGGGTTATGGTCCTTCCCATCCTGTGGTTCCTCACACACCGTCATTTTTTGGCTTTGGGTTTTTTAATGGGGTCCTTTCAGTTTCCTCTGTTGTGGGCTATAATGTGGCATTATCTGCCACTTTTTGGTTTACTGACTTTGCTTGTGTTTTCCATTTGCCAGTCTCATCCATGGTGTTTCATTCATTCCATTTTTCCTGTCCTCCCCACCCTGCTTCCCTTCAGGATTAGCACCTCTGTGTGATCCTCTACACTTTTTCCCATCTTCCATTGGAACTTTGGTCTTAGTGTTTCTTAAATCACCTTTCCTTGAAGTCCCTGTTTTTACTCTTGTTTATGTGCAAATGTTGTTCCTTTGATGTGTTTGCATTTGATATTTACTGTGTTTTTGTTTTCTTAGTTCCTATATTCTTCTCTTTCCTGATCATTCCTTTATGTCCAAGCATTTGGCTGCTCGAGAGGGTACTTCTTCTTTCACACCTTTTTCCTTTCCCTCCTTTTCTCACCTTCATGACTGTTCCAGACCCACCTTCCTCTTTTGCTCGGTCAGGGCTCTTCTATGGTATATGACACATCGTACTGCTCCCTTCCATGGTTCCTGAGTCCATTTGTTTTTTTCCGTGAAATCCTTACCTCTCTCGTGACCTTTTTCCCATTACCCATCCAGATTGAATTTGCCTGGAATTTTTCTTCCTTTTCTCCTGACAATTGTCACCTTTTTTTCATGTTTTATTCTCATCAGATTTGTCACTTTACCATGTCTCTTGCTGCACATTTCCATCTTCCCTTGGGGGACATCTTCAGTGCTCTAACTGTTTATCTTTGGTAAGTACTCTGTTCAGTTTCTTTTTCTATGAAGATATTTAGATCCAGCTCTATGGCAACTGTTGCCTGACCAGGTATACTTACCCTTAAGCCTACACTGTATGACCTGTGGTCATATACCATGCTAGATAACTATGAAGTTGAGGCTCTTCCTATCGTGGACCTGATGTACAATTCCAGATGTCACGAAGTGTTGATTGATTGACTTCATCAGTTTGTCCTCTGTACATCAAAATACATTATCATAACATATCACAAGGTCATGTTACACACACCATTGAGATGGGGTGTTCTGCAGGATCACTTGTAGGTATCCCTCGCTGTCTGTTGCTTCATAAATATCTTTGACCCAGACCATACACTCATGGACTAATGTGAGTAGAGCAGACAGGGAATACTGTCCATCTCTGATGATCCGTGGCGTCAAAGCTCTTCCTATCACAGACCTGATGTACAATTCCAGACACCGCCAGGTATTGGTTGATCGACTCCATCAATTTGATCACTGCTTTTCAAAATAGGGTATTGCAGTCACCCATTGCACTGTCTCTGGTGCAGTGGACTCTCCAATTCATTTTATCCCTTCTTCTTTAAGTGGAGTTTGGGAGTCCTTGCCACTTCCAGTTCCTAGCTGCTTGGGTGGTGGACCATGGAGGCCTGTCCTCCTGAGTGTGCACAATACCACTCAGTTGAGAATAGGTTGGTAGCATTCTGCTGGTGTAGATGGTGTGATGCTCTTCCTACCTCAGATCTGATGTATAATTCCAGATACTGTTAGGTGTTGGATGTAGCACTCCACCATATATTGCAATTTGCTCCTCTGGCAGAGGCACCTTCCTTCCTACCATCTGCCAGATGTTGGTTCCCAGGAATCAGGTGTTGATTGGAGCTGGACCAGCCACATATGTCCTCACGTGTGTTTGGATGGTACCCTCCTCCTACAGCAGACTGGACAATAAATTAACAATGCCACCAGGTTTTGGACTGAAGATGCGACCCCAACTAGTTCTCCCTCTTCCTACTATCTGCTGGATGTCAGTTCCTGGTGGATCTGGTGTTGGTTGTGTTGGAGGTGCACATATGCAGAGACGGGTTCTTGGTACGGAAGCTCCTCTTCCCTACTGGGATGCATTTTTTTAGGTGTAAGATAGAGGAACCTCTTCCTACTGCAGACCTGATGTACAATTCCAGATGCCACCAGGTATTGGTTGAGGTCGAACTCCCATTTATGATCTGTAATGCCCTAGCCACTCTATACCAGGAGGTCCCATTATTTCTGTAATTGTTTCTTGAGGTCCCTCTATGTTTTTACCCTTTTTTAGTGACACCTTACTAAAGAGCAAAGAGTATACCTGGCTCAGAAATGATGCAGTCTCCCATAGGTGTGTTGTTTTTAATTTTTTATCACACCCCATGGTTTTCCTTTGGGCGCTTGCTAAAGGGGGATCATTTTCTCACCAGCCCTCTACCAGTTCAATGTGGAATTCTAGCTTTTTGTGAGAAAAGGTAAGATATTGTATCAGAAGTTAACATTTTTCTAAACTGAAAAGACATTTCCAATAGATAGTTACCTCTTCTCACATTTCCCACCTGTCCTCCCCACTTACAGTGTGGTTAGGTGTGATCTGACCAATCTTGAAGTGGTTAACAATGGCAAGATTAGAGAGAGTACTAGTTATAATAGGGGTAGTGTTGGACTCCTATTGGTGGAGGGTTGTTTCATAATCATTTGCATGTTAGAATATAGAAACAAATGGGAGTATCAAGGATAGTACTGAGCAAATATTTGCACCAATAGAGGGTTGTATAAGTTGAGAAAATGTTAATTTTTTGCAAGAGTGTGATGTTATGTAAAAATCAATTCATGTATTTAATGATCTCTTTTTTTTCTTTTTGTTACTATAATAGATGAAGTAGTGTTATTTTTTATTTCAGACAGAATGTGGTTGTCAGTTTACCTCTAAGTTAGAAGGAATGTTCAAAGATATGTCAGTATCTAACACAATGATGGAAGAGTTCAAAAATCGTGTGCAAACTTGTGGCGTAAGTAGCTCAGTTTTGGTTTGGAAATTCCAAAGATTTTCTTATGTATTCAGATACTTAATTATATAAATTTTTGTATGTATGATTTTGTCAGAGTCCTTTATTGCTTTATTGATTTTAATGATAACAAATAAGATAAAATTCACAGAAGAAACTGTTTCATTAAGTTAAGTTTGTAGTTTTTTTTAACAATAATTTTTATAAAGATTTGAATCAGAGCTACGGAAAACAATCATTAAAGTCTTATAATGTTGTTCTGTGATAAGTTTTTCTTTTCTATAGCTGAAATTTATGGAATAACATATTTGTCTATTAGTCTTTTAAAATTAATAAAACATTTCTTTCGATAAGATGCCTTAATTTAAAACAAGATTCCTGTATGAATAGTTATTATTAGACAGTGAACATGTAAAAGTAAGTATAGTCCAGGATAAAGTTTTCAATTGGTCTTGGCAACTTGTTTCAAAGATATAGCTTGTTTATAAATTGCTTTTAATTCCAAAATTTAGCCTTTTTTTATTAAAATTTTATTAATATTTGAGAGAAAAATATTAGACAACATGAAAATGGGAAAATTTTTAATCACAAAGTTTTGGTTGTTTTTATGGGTTTGGTCAAGCTTTCCAAGGTATTCCTTCAAAAAGTTTGCATTTAAATCAGAAACCCATTCTATAATTGATGAATAGGGGTAATTTAATTACTGTTAAATGAAAACTAAAAACTGTTAAGATTGTTACATTTTTAGTTGAATGGAGGATACTGAGGTTTATTAAAATATAATTATATTGATAAGACCAATAAAAAATTTTGAAACATATATATTTGAAAAAATTGATTTAAAATGTTATGGTCTTATTAGTTTCAAAAGAAGATCCAGTGATTGTGTTTCTAGTAATCAGGGAGAAGAAATGGTTCCCAAGCTGACTCGTTTTTTAAAATGGAGAATATTTTTCTTTAAATGTTATACATTGTGAAATTGTTATTTTAGTAAAGCTTGAAAAAGTTCATGAAAGAAAAGCCATGAATCCTGAAAAGATTTGTTCTTAAAACTTGAGAGGAGTATTTATGTTGTAAAAAAAGAAGTGAAGGATTTAAGTGTGGTTCCTGGTAAAATCCTAAAGCCTTCTGCTTTGTGTTAAATTGTGATAAAGAGACATATTTAGTTTTTTATTGTGTTTATTGTAAATTTGTATCTAATAGTAAGTAAGTTTCATATCCTTGTATAATATACATTAGAGAGGACTGTATGCAGCTTTGGTTTCATTGGCATATGAAGGTTATCAACATGTTGGAATGAGTAAAGAGCTGAGCTACTAAAATAGTACCCAGTTTAAGTTATTTAATTTATGAATAGTGTACAGTTTTAAACAACTGATCAGTAGAGGAGACTTGATTCAAATGTTCAAAATTGTTAAGGTTTGGATGGTCTTCCTATGGCTTGTTTGTTTCTTTAGTTGAATGGGAAATTGGATATACAAACTCTAATAATTGGAAGCAAAGATACAAGTATATTCTTCAAGAAAATTACATTTTGCTTTAGTTAAAAAGTAGTATGCTTTGCATGATGAAATGGTATTTGCAGTTAGTTTGAATCCTTTTAAACTTTTACTAGTTGGGTACGTGTATGTGAAATTGTAGGATTACAATATATTTTGCTTTGATAATTTTAGTGAGTTAGGTGTTTCCTCTTTAGATTAAATTACCTTTTGTCAACTTATTATTCCTTTGGCTCATTTGTTCTAACTGTGATTATGGAGAATGTGTAAGTTTTTTTTCTTTTTTGTGAAGTGAAATTGCAACTTCACTTTTCAAAGTTTGAATTTATGACTCAAATGAGTATTAAGTAAATCTTTGGCATAAGGCACCTAATAAGGTTTATGTCTGAATGATAAGTTTTGAAATTACATGTGAATTAAACATTTTGGTTGTTGAGATCCAGTTTGAGGATATTTGGCCAATATTGTTTATATACTTCTCTCTCAGTCATTCATAAATAATGTCTGTGATGCGTGTATGTAGGTAGATGAAGAACTAACCTAATGATTAATTTACAATTAGTCATTATAATAGGCTTGACCAAAATGTACCCATATTATAAAATATTTAGGTAATGTAAATCCAAAATATGTGTGAATACTTATGTTGTCAATGAAAGGATCAAGGGAATTCATTTTGTTTTCTTTCTGTTGCTTACTTCATTGGATCCCATAATACAAAAGTGCTTTTCCACAATGATACAACATGATGTGCTTGTATAGTGTAAAAACCGTTACATAAACAACATGTTTTCACTGTACTTGGTACATTTTGTAGTGTTAATAGATCTTCACTACTCAGGATTTTTGTTTAAGTCTATAATAATGAATTTGTGTTTAGTTTCCCTCGATGTTATATTAGGCATAATTATAATTTAAAGAAAAAAATGACATGACCAGTAATTGAAAATGTTCCTGGCTGTGAATGGAGAAATGACTGAAATAATGCATTAAGTGATTGCAGATGTTTAATTTATGCCAGGTGTCTCTGTATCTGGTACCTGGAATCTGTTTTTGTTTTATTCTTAAGGCAGAAATGCTATAATTAATTTTAAGACTGTCTTGCTTACGTTGTATTTTGATATTTGATTGATGTAATCAACAATAGTACTCTCTTCCAGCTCCAGTCAATATAGTATCCTCAACAACATTTAAATCATTATACTTCAAAACACAATTCCATTCACCCTCACATACATGCATCCTACAACATGAATCTAGAAATTCATCACTGATTATGCATGTATAAATGCACTTATGAACCTTTTGTTTGTAAAGAAAACATATTTGTAGTCAACAGCAGAAGTATTTGTTAATTTCAATGATGTATAGATAATTATATTGTGTATCTTGTTGTTTACTTACAAAAGTTCTGTATGTATTTATTTATCAACCACAATATTTAACCATATTACAGACATTTCTTTATGGAGTGGATTTAAATGTGAGAGTCCTTACTACTGGTTTTTGGCCAACACAAGCTGCTACACCAAAGTGTAACATTCCTATTGCACCTTGGAAAGCATTTGAAGCCTTTCGGTTGTAAGTATCAAGCAGGTTATTGAACACGTGTTTGCCCCTTGAACAAAATTACCTCAGAGAAGTGGTGGGTGTCAGATTATCACTTCACTAAAATTTCTCAATACTTTAGATAATGGGAAGTGTAAAACTTCTTACAGTAGCATATTGAATCTAAACTTAAAAAAAAAAATATAATATAAAATATTAAATACAAAGGTCTGAAGGATCTATCTTACCATGAAGTGGTCTAAAACTTGTTAATATGAAATTAAACACAATATTAAACTAATCGTTTAATTTCCAGTAGAATGTTTTTCCAAACAAAAAGTCCTTAAAAATTTCCTATTCATTTTGTTAGTTTTTAGACAAATTCTAAAAAACATCCAGAACTATAATATTATAAGGTCCATCTCCATTATTCAATTACTTTTAAAATACAGCAGAATCTATCATAAGTGTATACAAGTTATAGCTGAGTGCATCAAACTAGAAATGAGATTAAACAACCATATAAATTAAAACTGGGAATAAAGCCAAAGATGCTAGCCAATTACGGTCAAAGGCATGGAGATAAAAATGAAAAGAGCTAAGTTTTGAAACAAAAAATTCCAAACTTATTAATCTAACTGCTTGCAAACATGAAATAGATGACAGTCAACTTTAAATTCTATGGCTAGCATCTTTGGCTTTGTTTAGAATTTGAAAAAGATAGTGGTAGTATTGAGTAGGCCCAATAGACTATATATAGGTGTCAGGAATTTGATACTCAATGCAATAGCAACCTAGCTTTGGGTTTCAGAATTCTGTTTTGATATATATGATTTATTAGTTATTAATGTGGACATCACTTCTGTCAACAGAAAAGTCTTATGCTATATTTTTTTCTTTTTTTAAATGCTGAAGAAAATTGTGTTATATCACAAAAATGTTGCAGTAGTTCTTGTAAGTAGAGTTAAAATGCTAAATTGGTTATTGTTTTTATGTTTTTTACCATTATTTTCCCGTAAAAGGATTTACATAGGTAAATATTTTAAGATTGGTAGAGAATTGTATTATTGCTACAGTACAACAACATTATTTTAACTGTTATGAACTGCAAACTATACTGAAAAAGAAAGTAACAAAATTTCATGTTTCTGCTACAAATGGTTTTAATTATATATAAATTATTTGTCTAATGAGGTATCAGCAGTTCTTTGTAAAAAATGTTAGTTTCATATAGTTTTTACAAATACTAATCTTAAAACAAGTTAATGAAAACTGTCATCATTTTTCAGTTTAACCTTTTAGTATTATTCTTATGTATTACAATAGGAAATTATTTAAAAATTCTGGAACAAGTATGTTTGTATTATATATAATTTCTACAACTTGATAAACTGTAGATTTATTTGTTTTTAAGGTTTTATTTAGGAAAACACAGTGGGCGTCAACTTACCCTTCAACCTCAGTTAGGCTGGGCAGATCTCAATGCCGTTTTCTATGGTCCTCGAAAAGAAGATTCTGAGTCCAGAGATGGACCAGCATCATCCACATCCTCTCCATCTCCTGGACCTTCTATGTCAGGGAGACATACTGGTCCAAGAAAACACATCATCCAAGTGTCCACGTATCAAATGTGTGTTCTAATGCTTTTCAACAATAGGGATCGATTAAGTTATGATGTGAGTGGTATGATATATACTTTGTTTAATAACTCTAGATTAAATATCTTGAGAAATTAACAGTACATTAGTGTAAGATGAAAAAAAGTAAAAATACAAAAGCTATTGGAATTAGAATTACTTGTATGTTTTACTATAGAAGTTTAGAATCAAGTTCTTTAGAAGTGGATTTTTAACTCAGATCAGACTAAAACAACTGTCACTGACTTAATTAAAAAAATAATAATTCTAATTAAAGAATTTAGGTAATAGCATACATTATAACAAAGCAAGAATAAGAAGGGAAGGAGAACCTTAGTTTTGTAATGATCTGGTTTAATGGTGTAGACTTGTTTTACTATGAGACAAACTTTTTGGCTGATTGACTGTATTAATTTTGTGTCTGTTCAAATGTATTTTAGAATGGGTCTTGGGTTGAAGACCAGCAAACTTAGTTTGAAATAAATTTGGTTGATCATTATGTCTACCAGTTTAAAACTGCGAAGGGACTGATGTACAGTTGTAATGTAAATTATGCAGTAAATTTAGATAAGTTATCTAGCTATGTATTCCTCAGAATGAGGATATAAATGCACACAAAATGGTTCTTCGATAACAAAAATCTGAATTGTCTTTGTTACAAGCTATAAATGTGGAGGAATTAGCAGAAAGCAGAACATTTTCAGAGCAATGGGTCCATTGTCTTCATAAAAGCATGGATAAAAACTAAGAATAAATGTATTAATGTTTAGTGTTAATTTTTTATGTTTATAATCTTCATTTTAGAATGTTTGGTCATTTGTAGATCTCCAAAGTATAATTCTAGATTTCTTTATTTTTCATTCTTTTTATGATTATTTATAATCCAGTGTTACTTGCTGTGTTTGTCACATGAAAATTCATTATGGTATTTTCACTTCTAGTATTTAATATGAAGTACGTTGTTTAATAATAGATTTTACAGTATTGTTTATTTTTCATTATGTAGGAAATATGCAGTGAAACAGATATACCTGAAAAAGATCTCATCCGGGCCCTTCAGTCATTAGCTATGGGTAAAGCAACCCAAAGAATTCTAATAAAAAACCCAAAGACAAAAGAAATAGGTAAGTTATATTAGATCATTTCTGCCCTGTAACGGCTGTGGGGTTGTTTAAAGCACCTTCTGGTCTTCCAATTTCTCACAGTGAAAGTACTTAACCATTTTGCATGAAACATGGTACAGACGTTCTAAATTAATACACTTTGTTTTAATATTTGTATACTTTTTTAGGCTGTGTAATACTTAAAATTTATGTGAAATTCTTTTTTTTAATAGGAAAATAATTCCTTTTAGCTTTTATATATTTTTTGTTTTTTTCTTATTGATCAGAAAGTTCTATTTTTTATTCCAGTCATTTTTAACTTGTTTGATATTCTTCATTTTATTTATTTTGATACTTTGTTTTCTGCTTGAAGCTGTCTACTTTCTACTGTGATATACAAACATGATATGACTGAAAAAGAATTACTCATGAACAGTGACTTCACCTTTCAAAATGGTGAAGCTTTCCTTAGTCAGGCATTGTAGCATGATATTTGCACATGGTATTTTTGGTTCAGATCATTTTAAATTTAGTAATTATAGTTTGTTTTTTTCAACAAATAAGAAGTTCCTGTTTTCACATGTTTTGTTCTAATACAATAAAGTTAACAATATATTCAATAAAAAACAAATTTATGTTATCCAGATAATTTGCTGTTGATTATTATACTTACTGAACCAAATCCTTACCTAATGTTTTGTCATAGAAGTATATCTTTGTAAATTTAAAATAAACACAACACAAAACCAGTATCAGGAATGAAAAGAACATTATCAGAAATTATAAAGAATTACAGGACTATTATTAGTAGGGAAGTATTTTCAAAACTGTGATTTGAAGTTACTTTGTTAACTGTGGCTATTCTCAGCCTTACAATTTTCAAAAGTGTAACTAATTTTCACATGGCATTATTATAATTTAGATTACAAAGCATTGAAGCTTAGAATCTACCTTTCCAGTGATTATTGTTTTTAGAGTGTATCCCTTTTCAAAAACTGAGAACCATTCAAAACGTTCAAGATCTCCCTAGGTGGTGGTATAAGTTTGAGTTGAACCATTTCAACAAACAGAGGGCATAGAAAAATAAACATTATTTAACCAAAAAAGGTTGAAGTATCACTGGGAGAACGAATTAAAAAAAAAATGTTTCAACAACAAAACAAACAGATTTCATAATCTTGATTTCAGTTTTTTTTTCTTATATTAGGTTGTCAAGAAATTAATGTTGCTTTTTTTAGATGAAAAAACCCCTAACAACTTATATATCAAAACAAAACATTTATTTAATGAAATAGTCTCCATTCTTATTGATGATGCTTTTCCATCTTACAATCAGGTTATTATTGCCCTGATTAAAGAAATCACTTGGCTTTGAAGATAAACATGTCGATGTCCTCT